AAGATGATAAAATAGTTCTCTGTGGTTTTTGAACTTGTTTTCTTTTAGGAGTAGGGCCCTCTTTTTCTTTTTTTCAGTGTGCTCTTTCATACAGTCCCACCAATACATAAGTATATATTACTCAAATAATAGCAGAACCCGTCCCACTGGGCTTATTTTTACTCCTCACTGCTATTCTCCCCACCACCTCCCTGCCCTAAGATGAAGGAAATCCTCTCCTGCCCCTCACAGGTATCAATCACCCTTTGGAGAAAGTGATGCATTGTTTTGTCAAAGTGAAGCTGGGAGGTCTCTGTGGAGAGTGAGAGCCAGACCCCAGTTGAGTGGCTGGAAAAGTTTACAGAGCAAGATGTAGGAGCCCCTCTCTCCAAAGACAGCCTCTATGTAATCCATCTTGGGGAGTCAGGGTAGATTGAGACAAGGAAGACAAAGTTGCAGCATGTGTGGACTTCTTAGTCTTGGCTTCCCCTCTGAGAGCTTTAACACCTACTGAGCTCTGGCCCCTGGGGGTTGCCTGGGTCTGGCCCTACATCTATACCTGTTGGGAAGGCCCCTCACCTGTTAACCATTCTCCTTTGCCCCAACTTGGATTTGTCTTCTAGGCCTCTACTTTGAGTGCCATATTTTTTTATAATTCTTGATTCTCTGTCAGGATTAGGTTATTCTGCTTGTTCTCAAAGCTGTTTAGATTTCTTCCAGATGATGATCTCACTTCATTATAATTATGCCTACACATGCCTGTCTCTTCCATTAACTGGTCAGCTCCCTGAAGACAGGTGCCAAGCCTCAGTTGCTATACATGTACAAAGACTATAATTTGTTACTTGAACAAATTAATATATCTTTACATGGAGCAGGGAACTGATACTATGTAGAAATTAAGGGTATGGTCTTTTGGGGCAAATCGCTTAAACACTGAGGCACACAATTTTATGCTCTATAAAATGGGAGTAATAAAACGCCTGCTTCATAGGAAAGCTTTTAGAATTTAGTTAGATTTTCCACATTAAAAGTATTTAGCCCTAAATGACCACAACCAATATGAGCTCAAAGAGTGTTACCTATGATAATAACAGTTATTAATAGCTATGAGAGTTATTGTTATTATCACCTGCCCCTGTGTTTTTTTCCCTTGGAGTCAGAGAGTTCTACCTTGCCAGGTAAGAACCTGAGGCAAAGAGCCAGATGCTCCTTTCCTCTGCCACATGCCCTCAGCCCATCTGATTACACTTGTATCTTGGATGTTCCTCTGTGGCTTTCCTCTCATGTGCCTCAGGAGGGAGTGATCGAGTTGGCTGGAAATAGTAGCCTTTGCCTTCTGGCTGATTACACAGGATTTTCTGCAAAGAGGTGTGTCAAGCCCTTCATGTCTCATTATAAGCTTTCGCTGGCTCCCTTCACTATATAGCATTCTCTGTGGTTTTTATTTCAGCCTGTACTCCAGGAAAAAAAAAAAATGTTCTACGGTGCCAAGAACAAAGATTCCGAGAGGTAGCTGGAGCACAGGGACTTTCAAAGGTGTAAAACAATGTGGTAATTCTTCTCCAGGGCCTGTGTGTTATAGCTTAATTCTCCTCCTAAAAAACAAGTTCAAGGCGATCTCTCCTGGAGGCTCCATGAGGCCTTACCAACCTCCAGGGAAAAGCTGATCCTAAGACAAAGGTGCAGATTTCCATAGACAATCAAACACTGTGTTGACAGTGGTCAGGCTGGAGTGTGGATACGGTAGAGACCTTCTCTCATTGTAGAGTAACACTTATTCCCCTGCCCCACCTTTCTGCCAAGAACTTGTCACCACATTTTCTATCCTCCAAGAAATTTATCTGACAGTTTGGATACAAGATCACATATTACTTGGTATGCATATTTTTTCAGTATTGACCTACTTTTCTGGGGCCCAATAAATATTTATTGAAATACTTGTTATATGTCAGACTCTTTACTAAAAGCTTTGCATCTCTTATCTTACTTAATCCTAAAATACTATGAGATTATTAACATTATTCCCATTTTACAGGTGAGAAGACTGAGATGTAGGAAAGGTAAATGGTTTGCCAAAGAATATAGTCATTGAGAAGTGGAGTGGCAAAGAAGTCTGTTAATAAGAGTCTCTAATCTTTTAAAAAGCAGCAAAACTCTTCTCATTTATTTTCTTTTTTTAAAAAAATATACCTTTATTGATTTCAGAGAGAGGAATGGAGAGCGAGAGAGAGAGATAGAAACGTCAATGAGAGAGTCATTGATCGGCTGCCTAGCCCGCACCCTGGGCATGTGCCCAGACCGGGAATCGAACCCTGATTGCCTGGATCCTAGGTCGACGCTCAACTGCTGAGCTGTGCCTGGTTGGGCTCATTAATTTTCTATAAGAAAGTATGTGACTAGATATGCAACATGCATAAGATATGCAATAAGTGCCTTCTTATTAAAAATTATTTATTTTCCTGTGAATAACCAAATATATATATTTATGATGATGATGATGATGATAATGCATCACAAATAGAACAGAATTTCAAGTCAGGAATGCAGAATCCAGTTCTGGTTCTGCCATCAATGTGAGAAAGTTACTAAACCTCCCCTGCCCTTGGCTGTCTTCGTTTGTAAAATACATGGTTACACTACGTTGGTAGTTACCAAATGTTGGTCTGTGATGTTCATTGAGTCTGTGGTAAAAGGAGAAAACTAGGAACAATGGATATATTTGTATAAATTTATTAATTTTATAAACATGTTAAAGTAGCTTATTTTTATGAATAATGAGGATTTTTCCCTTTGACACCCTTGCATGGCAAAATTCAAGTATGCCCTCCATATCAGGACCCTGATTTTGAAAATCCATACGCATTTTTATTGGTTCATGAATCCAAAGGTCTGGGAACCACTAGACTAGGTGATCACTAGTGTCCTTTCTAGCTTCAAAATTCTATCCTTTCTTAAATCACAAATGATGTTTAACTGACTCTAAAGTAGAAAGGAAAAAGAAATGTAAAACTGTTTTCCTTTTTCTTGCTTAATTCTGCATTTCACCAAATGTGTTCTGTTGAAAGACAGCCTCTGGCAAGCTATTACAGCTATTCCACTAGAAAAGCATTAGTCAAATGAATTTGGAAAACAATAGGTTAAAAAAGCTGGACAGGTTTCTTACCTAAGACGTTTCAGAACCTGTAAAATTCTCATGTTTATTGTGACTCCCCCAAAGCAGACAAAGCATGAGTGCTCCCCAAGTTATTGTTGGAGAACAGATGCCTGCCCCAATCCCCTTTTGAGGACAGTACACCTATTGCTGAAACCCAATTTGAGAAAGGTGACTTCAGATGAAAGAAAGTTCCTCAGGAGCTTTCATAATAAAGAAAAAATATAGCATTGAAGACAAGAAGACTTCCATTTATTTTATAATATTACCAAAACTATGGATACTTTCAAAAATTACAAAAGAAGCCTGGATAAAAAGACTTCAGATTGAAGTGCAATGGACTAACCAAAAGTTTTAACAACTTTTTCTTTTTTTTAACATACAAATAAAAAAAATTCTGTCAACAGATTTGTATCCAGTGATTACAACATGATAATTAAAGCACTTGGAATTTGCAGTAACAAAATTGTGGCTATCATCCCTGCACCGTGAGTACAAGGAAAAAACAAAACAAAACAAGGTAAAAACTGAGCCTGAGAAAGCCCCCACATTGCTCTCAAATGGTGTGTCCTCATTAAATATTTGTGCAGGAGGAACAATCAATTCTGAATGCTCGTGGCTCATAATCAGTTTATGAAAACACTACTACTATGGTCAAAGAACAAAATTCTTGATAGAAGATAAAAATCTAACAGTGTGTACTTGTTTCTATTTTTCTTTGCATAATTACCCCGAGCTGAGAAGGTTTACTTTGCCTTTTGATTGCTTTTTAGGTGATCATGTAAAGTATCAACTAGCCAAACTCTTCAGCCTTCACAAATCCTAGATTCAACTTTCACTCAACACACTGAGGAGAGAACAGTTTTTACTTGGGACAAACTAGATACAGGGAGGACCTAGGAAGGGCCTTTTGGATTTTCTGACACTAACAGCCTTGCTTTCTGACTCTATGCAGCAGGTTTTTGACAAGCCTGTGGCTCTGCATTACCTCCACTATTTTCCATTATGACTGCATGGTAAGTTTCAGCCTGTTTTTCATAATCCTGCTGACTATAGCAGTCTGCAACCATAAAAAGCCTTCGCGGACCTGGAGTCGGCTTAGAAAAGTGCCTTTGGAAAGGAACAAAAACGTACATGTAACGTTTATGTTCAAAGACAGGAGAGCGGAGGGCTCTTGTTTTGGTGCTGATGGCCTCAAGAGATTGTTTTTAGCATCTGAATTTCAAAATTTTAACTTTCTTCTGATGACATTTGTAAACAAAATACCAACACTAAAATGAGAGCACTTTAGCCAGGAAAGGGGGGAGTGTCCTGTCCAGCAGATCAAAACCTTGTCCAAACTGCACTGGAGAGATGTGTCTATGAATTAGCACATGTCCTATGCACAGTGCCCAGGATCCTTAAACCTCCAAGTTAACAGGTATGCTCGAGGTTTACACCAAAGACTGAAGGTTTCAGAATTAGCCTCTTTATAACCTTAAGATAGTACTGGCTTAGTCTCTGGGAAGGCAGATAAAAACACCAAACAACTCTTTTTAACAGACTACAATGCCCATCTATGCAATTTGATTCAATATACAATACTGTAGTTTTAAACTATACCATTCAAGCTTCTGTGAACATCTGCTAAACCTAATAAGAAGTTGGTTTTCATTTTTGCAATAAAGAGATCCACTTGAAAAGTAAATAGCAGAGGGGGGAAAAAAGTAAAAGTTTAAGCAACTCCCTCACACATTTGAACTTGGACTCTCCACCCTATAAGTCTATTCCCCCCATCTGGAAAAGCAGATCACATTTAACATCAACATTTCAAAACTAGTCTCTCTTAAAAATTACTGTTAAAACACAAAACATCAGAGCTACTTGCCTTTTGGCAATTTCTGTGCATTTCCCAGGGCTAGTGCAACACTTCCACAGAGAAGGAGACACCCCAGGCTGGACAGCATGTTGCATTTGCCACCTCACACGGGGAGTGATGCTGGTGGGTGTCCCGCAACCCTGGAGCTGCATTTAAGTGGACTGTCTCCCAGTGACAGAGGCGGGCGGCTGCACTGAGTTGTACTGTGGGCTTACTCACAGGGGGTGGAGACAAAATGACATCACACCCTTTCTCACACACACCAAAAAAAAAAAAAAAAAAA